AGGTCTCCTAAAACAGTAAAAAAATATTCCGTATTGAACGTATATCACAAAACTAACATGTATACTTACTGGTTCAGTTTATCCTAGTTGTACATAATATTATAGGTACGCGGTACCGAGTGCCTTAATAAAAATGACAATTTCTTCTTCTTGTTCTTTAGATTTTGTAAGTTCGAGTCTTCTTAGACGACCGCCCAATCGGTTAAAAATGACAAATTTCAACACGGAAATGTCGTTATTTTAAGGTTACTTATTTGTTTTCTCGGTCACAGTTTCTATAGTTATGGATGTTTGATAGGTTTCTACAAAACAGCTAGGAAAGCTCTGTAACTCATACGGTGACCTTGTCTTGTGAATTGGTATGACAGAGAAAGATGAAACAGAATCGAATGATCGGACTGATCTTTCGTAAGTCTCTAGCTTTCCAAAAATTCCGCAATGCGCTATGCGCAACCGGATGCGCAGTAATAGTATAACCTATTTCGGCTATACTTTTGAAGGTCTTTTTATTTTTTATTGTCTATGGGTATACCTATGAGAATATAAATATTGATTTAATGATGAATAGATATTATGGTTGGTTTTATACTGCAGAATATTGGGAATATATGGTTAATTAAAATAGTACCTATAGGTACCTACAGAAACAAAAACAAATAATTGGAAAAAAACTATAACATATACATATAAATACCTATCTGGAGGAGAGAAACACAGAAAGAGAAAAGGTGTTGAAAAACAATAAACATTAGGACAACAGAAACTAGAATAACACCCCAGCAATGGCAACTGGGAAGAGTGTTTTGAAGAACTACTGACAGAAAAACGAACGGGCGGAGTTTGAAGAAGAACCGCAGGATCACCTATAAAAATAAAAAGTTGAGAAACAGTGTACAGGTTCTTGAAAGATGGAAGAGAGAGCGATAAACTTCACAATTACAAACACTCCACAAATCTTTTCCAAACATGTATAAATAAACATGAAGTGCCGGAAGAGTGAAAAATTAGCTACTTACCATTCTTACCAACGATTATTATAAGAAAAGAGACAGAAACAAATACGAAAACCATCCAGGTCATTGCAGTGACAAATATCTTGAGGTCGGTCTAGAGCAGGAATATTGACTATAGACCACTCATTTAGTTTGAAACAGGTGATTTTATTGACTACTACTTTCGTAGATGCTTATATTGAGTAGGTAGGTACATAAGTAGCTATCATCAGACGGTTGTCTAGCTTTCATGGCTTCTTCCCTGTTTCGCTCTGTTCAGAAGTAAAGTAGCCAAACATTAAAGCTAGTCTGAGGTAGCTAGTTAATAGTAAAAAATAAATGAAATACCTACCAACAAATTAAAAAAAAAGTTGTTTGGTATCCATCCAGAAAACACCTTCTACATTATTATAACACGTGTTTACATTTTATGTCAACAAACAATTAAAATGTAATATAGGTGTACTTATAAAAATTTATAACTTTAAATTCACGTGCAGGTGTACGGTATTGAACCAAATACATTAACGATCACAATTAAGATATAAATTTTTAATTCGTTTAACCTTTCTCTTTACTTGTTTTTACCCTTATCTTACATCTTCTTTTATCATATTGGCCAGTGTTATCTTTTGCGGCTTATTTTTCTATATTTTCTTAACCTTCACCCAGTTTTCGCGCCATGAAAACATTATTATCTGAAAACAATTACATATTATGATGGGTAATTATACTTTTTGTTTTGTTATCAAACCTTGAATTTTCAATATCATCTGAGAGCCGAGAGGACTGATTGATGGTCATAAAAAATGCAAAAGATAAACTGGAAATTTTCGAGTCTTTTTATGGAAAACATATAATAGAATATGAAGATTCCCTATTTTTAGAACAGGAATGATGAAAAACAACTGGAGGTGTAAGTATAAAAAATCGAGCATCCGAGGAAGTTCTTGCATATTTTCTCGGGAAAAGCAAGACTTATTCATTTTTGCGAATATACGATTTTTTGTTTGTTGTATCGTATGTAGTTAGTTTTTTTTTTTAACATCTTCAACTGCTATTGTTGTGCAGTATATGAGATAATATAGGAGATAAAAAATGGCGCAGATCTGCTTTCCAAAATCGGCTTTGAATTGATTGATGATGATTTGATTCATACCTCTTGTACACTTGATGGCACCGTTCATAGTGCAAAGTATTTTGATATTCTATATGATTTTCTTCTTGAAACAGCTCATGTTTTATAACCAGACGGGAGGTTTTTCCAGCAGGATGATGCGAAATGCACTTCTGCCTATTCCTACTCAAGCTTGGATGCAAGAACCCAGTTAGCAACCATTCCATGGCCAGCAGCTTCACCAGATCTTGCTCCCATTGAAAGCATATAGGAAGGGAAGGGACTTGAAGATCGAAGTTGAACGAGCAGCGCCACGAAATAAAGAATGTTCGATTCGGTCATTTTTACAGGCTTAGACCATCATCAATGAACATTATTATAATAATTGTTCTTCTGATCTGCCTATAGCTATGGAGCCTGCATTTTCGTTGCCCTGGAACTCACGCAAGCGTTATGATGTTGTGTCGTTTTTAATTCCCGTTTTGACCTGGTTCCAGTTTACTATTACGTAGCCATTCCCCGTATTTCTTCCAGTTCGTTCGCACGGCTTCGTCCGGTGATCTATTGACCCAACAGATGAATTTATCTGAGAGCTAATGTGGGTAGAGGCAATCGTAAATTCTAGTAGGTACCTCTTGATGAGATCTTATCACAAAAGTACGTTCATTACCTTAAATTAGGAATTCCTTACTCTTAAGAAATATTAAAGTTTGATGTTCTCAACTCTAATAATATTGATGTTACTGCTTCCCAATATTTTGCTCATATAGAGTGTAGTATTCCTTTGCACCCAATTCAACTATCATCTGTAGGCTTATAGTATTGCTTCTTCAATACATGCAGAGTTCATTTGATGGTGGCTCGGTTGAATAGAGGTAAGCAGGTTGGGCGAGGACGGACTTGTCTGTGCACCTGCTATTTCAAAATTTATCGCACCCGATTCGTTCATAGGTCAAAAATCGTCAGTCAGTTCTTAGGCAAGTACTTCACTCTTGATAAATATGCAATATGCTGACTTTGCCAGAGCGACGATAGTAGATAAAGTCCGTCGATTTTAATCTGATACTCGGAATGAATGTGAGCTGGTGGCACCCTACATTAGAACGCCAATGGTCACCTGATGTCACACTTGTTTTTGCCATATACTTCACCTTATCGCTCCTCATACAAAAAGTGTCAGATAAAAATCGACGAACAATACCTAATCTCAAAATTTCACCTTTGGGTTCGCCTAGCAGGTCTTCAACTTACCCCTTGAATATTTGGATTCTTGGATCCGGGCCACGTTGGGTTTATTTTCGTTAAGGTCCTGGACCTCTATTCTCGAAACCAGGAAAAAGCGTTCTCATGAGAACGATTGCCCTGTCTTTGTCGTCAGTGTTATGGATATATGAATATGGGCAACTTAAACAGAACCTTCATTCTCATGAGAACGCTGTTTTAAGAATAAAGACCCTGGAAATGAGGGCCGTAGCTTGCGTAAAGCAGCCTCAGCTTTGACATCGCCCTTGAGTTGCTTGTTCACTTTGATGGTAACTTGTGACAATCTCAAAAGTCTGCGGGTACCAACAATAAAGTTCTAGCAGTTCTGGCAATATTCTCAGCATCATCAGCCCAAAGAGTTGCTGACTCACAGGAAATGATTGTTGATACGTTGAAAAATATGTCTAACCCATCACTCAACGGAAAAATCATGTTTAACACTAGCTAACCCTTTAGTTAAAATGTCAGCAGTCATTTCATTCGTAGGCAAGTATTTTAAACAAATCAAATTCTTAGAAACAGCCTCTCGAATAAAATGATGACGAACATCAATGTGCTTCGATCTCTTATGCACTATTGGATTTATTGATAACTTTTGCGCACTCTGGTTATCATTGAAAACTTTAACACACAAGTTAACATCAATATCCAATATTTCACAAGAAGTATTTTTCAAATAAATTGCCTCCTTAGAAGCCTCACTCAGGGCCATGTATTCAGCTTTTGTGGAGCTTAAAGCAACTTTTTTCTGTTTATTACTTTCCCACGAGATAGCAGCTCCTGATAGCTTAGACACAAAACCTGTGTAGGACTTTTTGTCCTTTTTGTTTGATGCTCAATCTGCATCAGCGAAGCCTTTTGAGTCGCAATCATCTTTTTCAAACCTTAATCCGTAGTCTTTTGCGCCCTGCAAATATCTAAGTACACGTTTTGCACATTTCCAGTGCACATTTGTATAACAAGCTACTGGCTCAAAAAACTAACTGAAAAAGATATATCTGATCGCGTTAGAACTGCCAGATACATAAGACTGCCGATTCATTTCTGATAAAGTATGTTCGAATCATAAAATTCAGCTTTTTCGATTTTTTCAAAATCCACATGAGAATCCATAGGCGTACCTACACTCTTACAATCTAACATACTAAATCTTTTAAGAAGGAACCAATGATGATATTCTCCTGATCTAATATAATAGAACCATCCTTATCATCTTATTCTAACTCCTAAAATCGGTTTTGCCTGCCCCAAATCTTTGATCTTGAATTCTGATCCTAATTTCTCTTTCAAAAAAACAGTTTATTTTTCACAATTACTAGAAATAAAGAAATCATAACGCCACAATAGATAAATTATCCTTATTAACATACAAACATGGTTCATACTCTGACTTTTTGTAACCCAGTTTTAACAAAACCTGATCTACTCTAACATTCCACTACCTAGTAAATTGCCTTTTTAGGCTTAAGAACCTTATTTTCATCTATCTCTAAATCTTGTGGACTTTTCATAAAAACCTCTTCACCTAAACAATCATTTAGAAAAGCTGTTGCCACATCTAGATGCGTTATTTTTAAGTCACTTTTAACAGAAATAGCAAATAATAGTTTAAAAATGGAATGTCTTACCACTGGACTGAAGGTTGCGGCACCTGAGTAGAGCCTCTAGCCACAAGTCTAGTCCGATATCGCACTCAACCATCACTTTCACTTTTTTGCTTGAACACCCACTTGCAGTCTACCACTGTACCCCTCTCTGGCATATCCACAACGTCCTATGCTTCATTTTCATCAAACGACATAAGCTCCTCTGCCATAGCTTTTTTCCACTTTTCACTATCTGGCCGAGGCTTATGTTCTCTTTCAGACCTTCTCACATTCTCCACTCCTGATTCTTGGATTTCACATGTGAAGTCACTATCTGAGATGTCCACATCCATCTTCTCATCAACTTCTTCCTCATGTATGCTCTCAAAATCATTTCCTGAACCTTCTGATGACGTTTCAGAATGTTCTTCCCCACTTCAGGCTTTAGGTGGTATTTCCATGGGTATTTCTAAATTTAATATTATCTGAACAGTTTCTTCCACGATTATGACGTCTCTACTAATTTTGATTTCATGCGTAGCAGCGTAATAGGATTATATACCCTGTAACCCTTTGTCACTTCACTGGTGTGTGTTGTGTATACCATAACCTTGCTGCCAAATATTTGTAGCATTTGGTTTTCTATGGTGCCACATTTCATAGGGAGACATTTCATCCAAACCAGCTGCTAACGACTTGTTTCTTAAATATATTGACGTACCTACTCATCGCCTTTGCCCAGAATTTCTTTTCAACACTGGCATCATACAACAGACTCTTACTTTCTCGACGAGTGTCCCATTCATATGTTCAGACATTCCGTTCTGTTCAGGAGCATAGCTATTTGTTTTCTGATGTATAATCCCATTTATTTTTTTTTTGATTATACTATCGAATTCCTTCGAACAGTATTCACCACCATTGTCGGTTCTGAAATGCTTTATCTTTTTATTTGTCTGATTTTCAACCATGTTTTTAAATTCTAAGAATTTCTCTAAAACTTGATCTTTGGTTTTCAGAAAATACACAAATGCCATGCGCGTTGCATCATCTTCAAACAGTGCAAAGTATTTCGATCCACCTATGGAAACTTCTTCCATTGGACCGCACAAGTCTGCATGTATCAGTTCCAGCTTTTCCTGAGCTTTACTTCCTTTTTTAAGAAATGGCAACCTGTGTTGTTTGCCTTCACAACAAATTTTGCAGTTTTACTTGCAAAGTTTCACCTTGCCTGTGAAATCCAGCCCATCAACAGAATTTTTCATTTTATCCAAATCTCCTGTGCCAGGTTTCACCAGTTACCGGCAAACAACATGCAGTCTTGTCTATTTTTAATCTATAGATATTTTGTACTAACTCAGCTTTCGCTACTAGCTCCTTATGTTTATTGTAAATTTGGCAACCTTGTGTGTCAAGTTCTACCGTGTTCCCAGTTTTTATCAGCTGACTTACTGAAAAAATTGTTGTCAACTGTGGTACACAAACCTCATTTTTAAGAGATATTTCGTAGTTTTCATTTCTACACACTGTTGTCAGCTTTACGTCACCTGTGCAGGTAACTGCTACTTTAGTTTGATTGGCTACAATAATCTCATCCAGATCACTCTCGGTAGATACATTTTCAAGCCATTCTTCATTCACACAAAGATGAACACTTGCTCCTGAATCTACATACCATTCTGTCTTCTGAACTGAACTTGGCCCTTCAAGAAAACTGCGCTAAAAGCATGCGATTTTTTACAATCTTTCTCACTTTCAGCTTTTCTACATGTTTTTCACCTGTCATCTTGCGACATTTTGACCTTATGTGACCATATCCTTTGCATCCATAGCACTTAGAGGACCTCTAAATTTCTTCTTTCCATTTTTATTTCTTCCCCCTCCACCAGCAAAAGCCACTCCGGATGCGTGAGGCTTCACCTCCATATCTAAAAACTTTGTCTTGTATCAGCAGTTATTTGTAGCCCGCTATGCTCAATAGCCATTTTCATTGGAGAGTATTTCTCAGGCAGACCAGCTAGTAATAAATAACCTACCTACACATCATCTATAGCAAACCCTATTACTTTCAATCTCCGTGTAGTTTCTACAACTGTATTGACATATAGTTCCCGATAGATTAACAATTTTCCATCCTTGTAGAGATCAGTGTTCTTAATAAATTGATTTTTCTTGTTTGCCCTTGATCTGCAAACATGCCTTTCAATTTATCCCAAACTTTTTTCGGTCTATTTTCATCTCTAATATGTGAATACCTACAAGCCAAATCTATCGTAAGCACTATTCGCGCCTTTGCTTTCGCATATTTGTCTGCGTCACTTTCCGAGCCATCAACACAGTCCCAAAGGCCATCCAAAATCAGGATATTTTCGATTGCAAAAACCCACTCTTCGGAATTTTCCCGGCGTTTAAGCTTCGGTACACTAGCCTGAAAGTTTACCGCCATGTCTCTCAAGTGTTTCTGATCAATTTCCATGAAAATTTCCGAGAAATCTACTCAAAAACTTCGAATTGCTGGACGCATAAGCTGATAAAACGCACTTCGCAGCGGCTTTTAGAGACAACGACAAAACAAAAAAGTATATTACTACAGTAACACACAATCATGACATACTTGATGATATATGTATAACATTATTAAAAGCTAGATACAAACTTGACACATGAATGTCGCGACCTGTCATAATACAAAATAACAACATATTTTCTAAGAAGTTCCAACACCCCCACTTCTTAAAAATATTTCTAACCCAATCACTTAACGAAAAAATCACGTCTAACACTAGCTAATAACCCTTTAGTTAAAATGTCAGCAGTCCTTTCATTCGTAGGCAAGTATTTAAAAGAAATCAAATTCTTAGAAACAGCCTCTCGAATAAAATGATGACGAATATCAATGTGCTTCGATCTCTTATGCACTATTGGATTTATTGATAACTCTTGCGGGCTCTGGTTATCATTGAAAACTATAACACACAAGTTATCATCAATATCCAGTATTTCACAAAAAATATTTTTCAAATAAATTGCCTCCTTAGAAGCCTCACTCAGGGCCATGTATTCAGCTCTCAAACACAAAACCTGCGTAGGACTTATTTCTGTCGTTTGATGCTCAATCTGCATCAGCGAAGCGTTCTAAGTTGCAATAATCTTTTTCAAACTTTAATTCGTAGTCTTTTGCACCCTGCAAATATCTGAGTACACGTTTTGCACATTTTCAGTGTACATTTGTATAACAAGTGTTATACTGGCTCAAAAAACTTACTGAAGAAGATATATCTGGTCGCGTTAGAACTGCCAGATACATAAGCCAATTAATTTCTGATAAAGTAGGTTCGAATCACCAAATTCAGCTTTTTCGATTTTTTCAAAATCTACGTTAGAATCCTTAGCCGTACCTACACTCGTACAATCTAACATACTAAATCTTTTGAGAACCTGAATGATGTAATTCTCCTGATCTAATATAAATAGAACCATCCTTATCATATCTCAGTCTAACTCCTAGAATCGGTTTTGCCTGACCTAAATCTTTGACCAAATAACATATTTTCTAAGAACTTTCAACAGTTGGCATAGACGGCGTACAGCACTCCCCCTATAAAAAGTGGCTGTGATTTCTGTGAACCTTAGGCCGCTGGAGATTTCCAGATTTTCCGGAATAGTCATTTCTCTGGGTAGGTGTTTGCATCACAGCCAGTTTAAACCTTGTTCGAAGGTTAATCCCCAGTTGACCTATTGGATAAGTCCTTCGGATCACACTTGCTGCTTTTAAATTGTCATCCCTGTGCTGGTGACGCAATGCAGATTTCCGAGCACGTTTAATTGCTGGAGGATTTCTTAGCATTTCCAGTCAGTTATTAGATGTTTGGTGGTTTCTCAGCTATCGAGGTAGCTTTTTCCGGTTTGCCATTTGCTCCTTGTTTTCTGGGAAGGGCTTCCCTCTTACCTTCGTCGTTTTGCACCTCTTATGTGCTTTTCATCCAGACTCAGCTTATGCACGTTTGTATATAGTCACTTCTTGTACGTTTCGCCTATTACAATTGAGCGATGGGCTTAACCTACAAGAAGGGGTGGCTAGGGAGTTTCACCAGTAGGTCTGTAGCATGCTGGTGTGTCTTCAGGTTTTTTATCAGTGAAAGAGGGTTTTGTTGGGTCTAGATCTCCAATAGTGCCATGGTGTTTTTGTGTGTGCTAAAACCTTTTTTAAGGGAATGTCTAGTGATCTAAGTAAGACTAATTACTCTGGAAAGTCGCCTTATCGTAGATGTTTCTATGAAACATCCGTTTGGGGCGCTGATACTATATTCATCCCTTAGCAGTCTTAGCACGGATAACAGGACACAGAAGCCCTGACTAGCTATTATTATTTGGGTCGCAGTTTCAGCGATACTACTCGGTCTCTGCTACTTGCCCTTAGTGCAATAGGACCCCTAGCTTGAGAGTAGTATGGCGGAGCGAAGTTTAGCTTATTTTCCTCCAAAATATTGTATAGAGCAATCGCCAATGGTGCAGGATATGAAGAAACGCGATCTTGGTAATTCTAACGCAACGAAATCTCCAAATGACTTTGCTGTGATGGAAATTCTTGTCAATATGGTGAAGACTAAATATTTTTATTGATCAAGGTCCTAGATCCTTGTGTCATCATCAGAAGTTGAACACTTCTCCATGAAAATTGCTAACTAGATTCTTAGTTAAAAATTAGATAAAATAATTCTGCCACATAATATCAATAACATTAATAACCTGTATAGTCAAATGGAAATTACAACAAAATTTAATAACTTATTTGTTTGTAAATCTGACAACCTAAATCGCACGTATGAAGCAGAAACGAAACACATACATGGAAATATCTTGCAGTCTGGTAATCAGTGTTCTCTACTATCGAAATAGTGAAAATTAGAAGAAAAATACCATATCAGCGTTAACGCTGCTTTTTAGAGCTTCGAGGATTTGCCTTTTGCACATTAAATCTTTAGAAACCAACGCAGTAGCTTGAAATGTCTACTTTGGTGAACAGATTATTATTTTTTTCCCATTCTGAAAACCTGTTTGTATAAAAGTCAATGGAGAAATAGAAACAATTCTTGAAAATGTCAAAATCAATTCTATTCTGTGAGTATCTTCTTTAATAGTTTCTTATATAATAAGCCTGTAGCCTGTATATTGTCGATTTTTTTAATGAATAAAGAACCGTACACAGGAGAGTAACAACAAGCGCAAATCACACCCACACGAGACGATCCGTTCGCATGGTGTTATCTCAAACGCCTGGGTCTTACGAAATTATGTCAGGTGTGCATTCTAATGCAGTTCGACCCTGAAATGCAGCGCCAGGGCCGTAGGCTTGACAATCTTGCGAAACAGTCATCACAATAATAATGGTCAAGGCGAAAAACTCCCCCCTCAAAAAAAAATGATACACACTAAAATTGCCGGCACGCATGCATGCATATAAAAATAAATTGTTTCCTTAAAATGTCGTCAATTAGTTTTTAGTTTACTTTATTTAGTAGCACCACTACCCGATCTGTATTTCGTATTGATACTGTATAGCTTTGATCCAAGTTGGAAAATCAAAATGGTGAAATATTTTTGCGTCAGCATTGCGATTGTGTTTTTTTTAGTTTTGGAATATATCAATGGCGTGCCTTTCGGTGTAAGTAAAATAATTCTCATTTTTGAAAAACACCATTATAATAATTACAATCTCAATAATTGTACTAGGCAACCCAAGCACCATATTTTGGCGAAAGATCTCTTTAAACAAAATATGCAAAATAATCGAATGCAGTTTTTTACTGCCAACATGCTTGAATGAAACATTGCATAATTTGTAAATACATATTTACAATCATCACTATAGACATAGACACGGGAAATTTTCGCAACCTACCGTTCAATTTTCACCGAAAATGTCCCGCTTCATGTAGAAATTTTAGTACATGAGGGAAATATTCAGTATAGTAATAACCCCCCTCAATAACATTGATAATTGTTCGAACAACTTTCATAACAGATTTCCGAAACTTGTTGTCTATAAACAAGTTTGCGAAACTTGCTACAAAATTTTTGAGCTTTTATCAATATTCGAGGGTTAAAGCCCGTACACAATAACTTAAAAACGACCTGACTTAGCAACTGTAAAGTTGAGATTGATTCAACTTAAATACTTAATTTTTAGTTTAAGTAAGATGGTGAATGTGAATAGCTCTATAAGAACAATGCAGCTCAACTTAACGTTTGTTGAGTTAAGTTGTCTTAAGTTAGGTCGTTTGAGTTATTGAGAACGGGCATTTATTCGGACAGAAATTTTTTTGCTAATTATAGAAAAAAAGAGCAACGTGAGTGAAAACATCCCATGGGATCTGTTTTCAGTATAATGTTGAAATTATTGGCTGATTTGTGTCACATAACAAAACTTAATTGGCTGTTAACATTTTGTCACAAAATTTTCAATAGAATTTTGCATTTGCTATTTAGGAATTTTCGATTTTGTTTGAAACTCTTGTTTTAAATATTTCAGGAAACTACAAGAAAAATACGTTCAGCAAGGAATCATTGCAATTGTGGTAAGTATTGGTAAAATCAGTCACGTCAGAGCATTACAAAATCTAAGCTTAATTACTTAATATTTGCTAATAGATAAGTTCTATTTGTTGATATTATTTTCAATGTTACAGTTAGGCTTAAAATAGTTATTTAAATACCGCATAAGCATAAATACTTATTATCCATTCTGATAAAAAAGGAAAGCGATAATGATATCTTGAAAATTGAGCGTTTTTTTTTTTTTGATTTTGTAGTGGAAAATATTTGCGATAACTTTTGCTGATAACATTTTTCAATACCCAGCTTTCAAGGAAAAATGTATTACAACCAAAAGGTTGCGTCAATTATGTCATAAAAAGGTGAAGTTTTCTTCTAAATAATTCTCTAATAGGTATCTTCTTTTCGTGGTAACTTATATAGAGACAGGACCGGGCTCCTAGACACATAGGCTTTAAAATGGGACCAGTTAACTGATACCCATTTCACTGCAGGATCGTCACAGTAGATCATTGATCGTCCCTGCATGTAATTAAATTCATGCATCTCTGGGCAGCGCGGCTATTCGCCTAAGCCGGGTACTGTAAAAAATTACTATAAGAGCTTGGAAAATGTTGAAACCTGTGGGTTTAACGGAAAAAATAAAACACAACGACTCGATTTTATAAGCTACTCGACTTACTTTTCATTTTTCCAGACACTGCTGACGTTTCACAGAAGACATATGACAATAAATGGTACAAATACTTATAATAAACATAGATGGCGTTGGTAGGTACTATTTAAAAATATTTTGATATACCTAAATAATTCCAACACGCCCACAAATCAAAAACTTTTTAAACCTAAACCTGTCAAAAAATAAACATGCTTAGTTCTCCCCAAACACTTTTTGAAAATGTCAGCTATCATTTAATTCGTGCTTAGATAGTCAACATTTATAATTCCTCATGAAAAACCGGATTGTTGCAAAGCTTCAGAGCGCCTTCATTATCATTTAAGATTGTGACACAAACCAATTTTTCACAAATTTCATTTATTATGTTTCGCAAGCAAATGGCCTCTTTTGAAGCATCACTAATGGCCATGTACTCGGCTTCCGTACTTGACAGTTCTCTGCTACTTTCTCAGGAAATTGCATTGAATGCATAGCCTGTATAGGACTTCCTATCCACTTTATCAGACCCCCACTCAGCATCCACAAAACCCTCTAAGTCAGAATCAACAATATCCAATATCAAAATCCCCTCCCTTCGTAAATGTTAATTAAAAATGCTTTGTGCCTGTCGGATACCTAAGTATTCTTTTGGCATACTGCCAGTGGTCCCAGTGGTATTCTGAATAATTATTGACTCGAGTGATTCACTGCAAATGTTATATCTGGTCTAGTCAACACCGATAAATACCTACATTAGGCTTCCTATAAGTTTCTGATATGGTAAATCCCTTAAGTAGTAGTATCAAACTTGCTGTCTAGAGGAGTATTTACTGTTTTACAATTGAAGAGTGTAATTTCTAAAAGGTCTCAGTGCCAAAATTTTGATTTTGAGAAAAACGAGACAAATACTACAAACATGCTTATACAGTTTCCGCGGAAAAGTCTGCACCATATGGGAATTTTTTTTATGCTCATCCTTACTTCAAATCGGTTTTCGGTTTTTTTATGCTCATCCTTACTTAAAATCGGTTTTCGGCATTAGGTTCTGCATGACTGAAAACCAAAAAAACACCTAAAATTTTTGACCCGAGACTTGCCTCCCACCTGTCAAATGCCATTTGAAAGTTTCAAACAAGGAAAAGTGGCATTTTTATAAAAAATATGAAAAAATTTTATAAGAAAATATTGTTCCAAATCACATTTATAGTCTAATTTGATATTTTTGCTTTGAAAAAAAAGATTTTTATTTTTTTATTTTTTTCGAATATCCACGGAAAAATAATATTTTTAGGATTTCTTTCGCGATCATTCCTCTAAAATAATTAGTTTGTATCTGACTAATGGTTTTTTAAATCTTAATAATCTAATAAAGAGTTTAAACATCAAAAAGAAATATTTCTATTAAAACTTTGATACGCCTCTGGACTATTTTAAAAATTTAAGATTTCTCAAATTAAAATTTCAAATTGTTTGCTTATAAACTACTACTAAAAGTCATTTGGAACAATATTTTCTTATAAATTTTTTTCATATTTTTTATAAAAATGCCCATTTCCTTGTTTGAAATTTTCAAATGGCATTTGAGGCAAGTCTCGAGTCAAAAATTTTAGGTATTTTTTTGGTTTTCAGTCATGCAGAACCTAATGCCGAAAACCGATTTGAAGTAAGGATTTGCATAAAAAAATTTCCCATATGGTGCAGACTTTTCCGCGGGCACTGTTTAAAGTTTTCACTTACATCCTACACCATCTTTAAATCAATATCAGAACCAAATACATGTATCGTCGCCACATAGATCCTTTTTGATTGTATTGGGGTTGAGACTTGGAACCATTTTCAAACATTATCCCGCAAATTATCGAGATGGCACTTAGACCCTTTGGAAGATATATTCTTCAATTTTCCATACCAAAACTTCATTTATAAGTACTTTCCCTGATCTAGGAAAATAGAATTATTTTCGTATTCCCTAGTGATTTTAACTCCCAAACACTGAGCGTAATTTTGTTTTCAAACTTTTTACCTCGTGACAGTTGTTTGAGAAAACAAAAAAATCATACACATAAAGTGCTATCAGAGTCAATGAATTTTTATCCCTTTTTATGAATAATCATGATTCATGTTTTGAGTTATTGTAACCCAATTCTGATAAAACTTCATTTACTCTAGCATTCCAACCTCTGAATGATTGCCTCAGACCATAAACAAAACCTTCAAGCTGCTTTATATAAACTGACTCAAGTAAACCATTCAAGAAAGCAGTTTTCACATAAAGGTGCATAATTTTCAAATATAATCTTACCGCTAATGCAATCAACAGCCTTAACGTAGAGTGTCTCACTACTTGTGAAAAAACGTCACCATAATCCAAACCGGGTTTTTGCACACAGCCTTTTGCCACTAGACGTGCACGATACTTCACTTCACCACTATCGTTGGTTTTTCGCTTAAAAACCCACTTACATGAAACAATTGTTGACAATTCTGGATACTGTCTGTCAATTCCCAGGCTTCAAAGCTCTGGATTTCCTCAAACATAGCTTTCTTCCATAAATTAGCATCTGCCTTTGACATTGCTTGCTCCACTGTGACTGGATCACCATTTGCACTGATTTATTGTACACAAGCATAAGTGACATAGTTTTCAAACTGTTTTGGCTTGGTTATTGTTCTTCGTGATATTCTGGCTTCTGCTCCGAGTTCTGCTACTTGTGTTTGTGGCAATTCAACAAATAAATCATCGTCACTAGTTGAATCTTCAGAATTCACTGAATCATAATTTGAAGAGTTCTGATCAGACTCCAACTCCAGTCGTTTGTTCAGCCCCTACTAAATCTGTAGATTCCTGCGGATCAAATTCTGTTTGCTTGAGTTGTGTCACATTTTCTTCAATGACTACATCTCTGCTCACAATTATTTTTATTTTGACTGCATCGTACAATCTGTAGCCCTTGATGTTGTCACTAAAACCAATCAGAATCATCATCTTTGATTTTTTATCCCATTTTTGCCTTTTTTCTTTGGGAACTTAGGTCATTGCCTTGCTAGCAAATATTCTTATTCGACTAATATCAGGTTTTTACCATGCCACATTTCATAAGGCGTTGTTTCAACTCCTGAAACTGTAGGAAGACTGCAGTTGCTATAGCTTCTGCCCCAAAAAGCTTTTTCATTTTTGCATCATACAATAGACAACGTGCTTTTTCAACAATGGTACGATTCATTCGTTCACTGATTCCATTCTGTTCAGGAGTATAAGCGTTTTTTTGCTGATTCAAAATTCTATGCTTCTTATAAAAAAGTCTAAAAATATTGCTATCAAATTCAGTACCTTCATCACTGCGAAATATTTTCATTTTTGTACCTCTCTGATTTTCTACATAGTTCTTAATCTCTGAATTTTTCAAAAGCTTCATCCTTACTTTTCAGAAAATATGCAAAAGTCATTTTCGTATAATCGTCAACTAATATAAAAAAATATTCTGAGCCTCTGAGAGACGTTACCTCCATAGGTCCACATAAGTCTCCATGAATAATTTCCAATACTGAGCTGGCTCTATTTCCTTTGTGACTGAAAGGTAATCTGGAGTGTTTGCCTTCACAACAGATTTCACACAAGTCAAAGTCACTTTTGACTAAAGTACCTTTGCATTCGAGTCCATCAACTAGTCCATTTTTCATTAAATTTAGGTGGTTGAAATTTATGTGACCAAAACGTCTATGCCAGACTTCTCCAGAAAAAGCTAACCCTGCTACCAAGTTTAGCTGTGGCTTTATTAAATTTAATTTGTGAACATTGTCTTGCTGTAGCAATCAGCTGCTGTTTGTGATTGTAAATATCACAACCATTAACATTGAAAATAACTTTGTTGTTGTTTTTAGTCAGTTGACTTACCGATAATAAGTTTGTCTTCAACCTCGGTACATAAAGGGCATTACAAACTGTGACCGAATGTTGCTGATCATTAACAATAATTGTCGTAATTTGTATATCACCTGAACATTCTTTAGCCAGCTTGTTGTTATTAGCCACTGTAATTTCCTTCACTTGGACTTCTGGATTCACATTTTTCAGCCAATCTTTCTGTGATGTAAGATGAAAACTGCATCCTGAGTCAACGTACCAATCTGACTTGTCAAAACTACCAATAAAAAACACAGCATTGAATGCGTTGGATGAATCCTCTTGGTTTCTTTTATTTTCTGGACACTTGTTCAAATGTCCTTTTTTCTTACATTTAAGACAGGTGAGCTCACTTTTATTTTTATTTACATTCCTTGTGTTGCCACCTTTATTTCCTCTACACTTTATCGTCGAACGCAACACTTGCTGAGGAGCGATCTTCAACGCAACCTAGGCGCATATCCATCAACCTAGATTTAATGGAATAAGCTGTTACATCAATTCCAGCGTGTTCAATAGCGATAACTGTAGAATCAAATTTGTCTGTCAATCCTGCAACCATTAAGCTTCCAATTAACTCCTGTCTCAATTTAAAACCACATCGTTCAAGCTTCTGAGAGGTGTCTATCACTTGATTCACGTAATGTTCCATCGATTCACAATTATCAAGTCTCAACGAGATTAATTTTCACAGCAAACCGATTTTACGTGCAAAACCTGAGTCTTTGTAGAGCCTCTTCAACTTAGCCCAAACTTCTCCAGCCGTGCCACTGTCTTTAACATGGATGCATATGGAAGAATCTAATGTCAAAAAAAAACAATAAACCGAACACGGTCTGGGCTTCTTAACTTGTAAAAATTACTATAAGAACTTGGAAAATGTTGAAACCTGTGGGTTTAACGGGAAAAATAAAACACAACGACGCGATTTTATGAGCATCAGCTACTCGACTTCCTTTTTATTTTTCCAGACACTGCTGACGTTTCACAAAAGACATATGACAATAAATGGTACAAATACTTATAATAAACATAGATGGCGTTGGTAGGTACTATTTGAAAACATTTTGATATACCTAAATAATTCCAACAGGGACAAGCTAATTCGTCTTATTACTCAGTATGTGTCTAGTAGCTTGGCCGGTCTGTATTTGTAAAAATATCGCGCGCCAAAACTACGTCTAGTGAACTTATTGTAAAAATGCGCAAGCAGCAATAAAATTATCAATAAACATATCAAAATTTTTGTGATGACGTTTCTTTGGTTGTAACTTTTTTTTTGATAGACATTCCTGCAAAAATTTAAAAAACCGAGGAGTTATCCAAATTTCAGATTTACTCCTATTTCCAAGATGACCGAGGACGCACATTTTTTTGGATATCATTTGTACTCTCATTCTCTTCCATACATAATATCTATTATACTATTTTGTACAACAAATCAACTGTGTTCTAGAATGTGGAGTTGTCAACAGACGGAGTCGAGTAGTGGGTGGAAACATCACAAGATCACATGAATTTCCTTGGATAGCAGGCCTGAGCCATGGAGGAGAATACCATTGTGGAGCAGCACTAATTTCAAGAAGACACCTTATCACGGCAGCACATTGCGTACATGGGTAAACACGAATATATACATTTCCGTCACATACTTTAATAACAAAACATTCTCTAGGTTTGATAAAAGAAGTCTTATGGTAACATTGGGCGATCACGATCGAGCATCATCGAATAGGTTTAGCAATATCGACGTTAGAGGCATTAGATCAGTCAAAAAGCATGAACATTTTGATATTGCCACTTACAACAACGATATTGCCATATTGGAAATGGACATTCCTGTTGGTTTCAATGATAAAATTAACCCGGTTTGTTTACCGAACGATGGTAAGAACTTTAAGAGATGTTAGAATCTCAAATTTATCAAGCAACAAGCATGTTATAAATTATTTTGAAAATACATTTTTTTTCTAGACATTATTGATTACACTGGAAGAATTGGTGTGGTTGCCGGTTGGGGAAGAATCAATGAACGTGGTGATACTTCCGATGTTCTTAGAAAAATCTCGGTACCTGTATGGAGTACTCAACAATGTTACAATTCTGGTTATGGCGAACATAAGATTTCCGGCAATATGTTTTGTGCTGGATACACTGAGGGACTAGTTGATGCTTGTCAGGTAAAGACGACAGTCAAATTGGTACATTAGCTTGAAATTGTTCTTTTGTTGCAAATTTGCTTTTTAATTGAAATTTTTCATTTAGGGAGATAGTGGTGGCCCACTCCAACTTACAAACAGCCTGGGGGATATGGAAATAATTGGTATGTATGTATGATAGCTTAATAAAAGCTTTACATCAAATCATTAGTTCAGTTTGTTGATAAATTGAGACAAATAAAAAACTGGATATCTTTATACTCTATGAAAAGGCTAATCGAGACAAAATAGTGTTTATTTTTTAATCATTGATCTATTATGCTGCTGATTAATTCACTGGTATATTATGATTCAAAGGTTACAATAAGAATGTTAGATCGTTCAAAATTCAAATACCCAAGTATTAGTTGTGACTACCCAGCGAGACTTTCCAAAAAGATTAGCGCTTTGAGCACAGAATTTGGAATATTTTCATCATATCTTTTTGTTTTGAAACTTCTTTGATAGATACCTATCTCAAACATGCTGATGCGTGATGACATGGAGGCGTAATAATTATTATTCTTATAGGTGTGGTGTCATGGGGTAGAGGCTGTGCCCGTCCGAATCTTCCAGGAATCTATACCAAAGTAGCCAATTATTTACACTGGATCGATGAACACGTCGATGGTGAGTGTGTTTGCCAGAAACATAATGCAAGATTTTTCTAAAGGCCCATGTTATTTGTTTAAAATTAAAGTTGTTCTAGTCATTTACTTTATGCTTAAAGTTTTACCACTAAATCTCAGTTTAATGAGATGAAATCTTAGTTTAAGTATTTATTTGTGAACTTAATTAATGTTAGGATTGATAAAATGCTGAAATTTATACTTGACCTTTGAATAAGGAACCTAAACCTTGCAAATGAAAAATTCACCGATAGCCTTTGCCTTGCATTAAGTTAAAATTTTATCAATGACAATAAATTATATGGAAGAAAGAAAAAAATTGAATAATGCCCACGCGGAAGTGCGTAAAAAAACTTTTACCATTAAAATAATTATTGTATTCAAATTAGGGTCATCGATTTGTTTCTTAATTCATCAATGCCGCATCTATTTTTACTTTGACCGTCAAAAATTATTGTATTATTAGTTCTATTCAAGGTAAGGTCAACGTAAAAATTTGTCACAAATGTCACGTGTCTATGCGAAATGTCTTTAACTAGTTAACATAAAATGCATAGATTCCATTTATTGATACCTACATATTTGAGTAATTTTTTTGTTCACACTTCTGATCTATAAATTTTATAAGGCAAAGGAATATTGTGAATCTAATAAATAGTGTTGTGAACCATCTTCTTTTTCGTTTCTCCTGAAGACCTAGTAATTTAAACAATTGAAATTTCAGTATTTTACTTTGGCTTTCAATGCCTTAATTAGTATTAACCAGGATCAGGACATTTTAAAATCGGAGTTTTGGCGTTAATCACATTCACAACCTGTAATGTAAACGAAATTGTCATTATCATACAAAATATCTACATACATACCTAGCTAAAAACTACTTCTTACTTCTTAGGGTAGGTTGCGTTCTTGATTTGTAAATATTTTGATCACTATGAAAATAATAAGAAAAAAACTTGTTTTCTCCTTTATGTAAAAATGTTTCTCATAATAATTGCATAATACATGCATCATCATAAGCATGAGACATTTCGACTTTTTAATTTTTTTAAATAGAAAGTTGAAACAGGGATACCTATATGTAGGTAGATAATCATAATATGGTATTGCTTGAAAATGTTTTCTTTTTTTGTGCGTGTGCCAATAGTTTGTGTAATTTTCGATAAGTAGATTGTAATAAAACGAATTTAAAGTGATCAAGAATACTATGTGCTATACCAAAGATATAATAATAAATGTACAATAAAAATGTTTTTTATTTATTTTCACTCTCTCAAAGGACCAACAAATATTTGTAGGTACTACTTATGATATGAAGAACTTTTTTTCGTGTGTGAGTGGGCCGATAACATCCCATGGATATGTGTAAAGTGTAGACTTCATAAGTAATTCGCGTTGATTTTTCAGTTCACACAACGGAGAACTAGGTTTATCAAACTTGTAGCATGCTTAATGCTACCGACTCTTTCTATAAGTGTTGTAATTATTTAGGAAAATCAAAATGTTTTTAATTAGTACAGTGACTAAATAAACCTTAACACTGGCGACAATAGAGGTCCCACCTCTTGCTAATTTTAAATATGAATATACGTATAGGATCTAAATGAACATCTATCATGAAAAATTGAAACGTATTCAATGACTATTATTAGGTACATCAAACACGTTGTTTCCAATTTGTTATGATGGATGTCCATTTAGGTTCTATATATTCATATTTAAAAGAACCAAGAGGTAGGGCACAAAATGGCGGCGTTTTCCATATTACTATATAGGATTTTAAAAAACCAATCAAAAATAGGACAGCTCTATTGTCGCCACTGTGGTAATAGAGTCACTGTATTAAATAGTACAGTGATTATATAGATAATCGTTTACATACAGTGGCGACAATAGAGGTCCCGCCGCCCTACCTCTTGCTACTTCTAAATATGAATATATAGGATTTAAATGGACATCCATCATAAAAAATTGAAAACAACGTATTTCATGTACCTAATAATAGTCATCAAATACGTTGTTTTCAATTTTGTATGATAGATATCCATTTAAATCCTATATATTCATATTTAAAATTAGCAAGGTAGGCCACAAAATGGCGGCGTTTTCCATATGAATATATAGGATTTTAAAGTACCAATCAAAAATGAGACGGCAATTGTCGCCACTGTGGTAATAGAGTCACTGTATTGAAAAGTACCTAGGTACCAACGCCATCTGTATTTGTACCATTTATTGTCATATGTCTTTTGTGAACCGTCAGCAGTGTCTGGAACCGGTAAACAGAAAACGCGTTTTTTTTTTTTGAGTGCTAAGATGGTCGTGAACTATTTATCCAGCATGTCAAAATTAACTGGTCGTGAAAATTACGCGGCTTGGGCTTTCGCAGTGGAAAACGTGTTCGTCCTTGAAGGATTTTCGAAGTGTATTGATGGTTCTAAGACAGATACCGTTTTAGTGAGCAAGGCCAAGGCGTACCTAACTAATTTTGACATTAGATTCTTCCTGATGCATCCATGGTAAAGACAGTGGCACGGCTGAAGAAGTTTGGGCTAAGTTGAAGAGGCTCTACGAAGAATCCACTTTATTGCTTTGCAGACGATGGCAATGTAGTCTCCTCACTCATACCACCTACAGGTCTTTCCGCACGTGAATTCCATCATCTTAGACTAACTCAAATATCGCAGATAAATAACGACCTGGAGATAATAGAGGACTGGGGTAACAAAAACCTTGTACAGTTCAACGCGCAGAAAACCCAAGCAGCTCTGTTTTCAAAAAAGACCAGCACCGGTGAGCCAAACATCATGCTATCTGGAAGTGCTGTCACATTACAGTCAGTTGAACATCTTGGGGGTTACTGCAGAGACCAACATGTCTTGGCACAGTCACGTGGCAGATATTGCTAAAAGGGCCTCCCAAAAGCTGGGGGTGCTATTTCGTACAAGACATCTGTACACACCAAGCCAATTGCTGACACTCTACAAAGCCCAGATTCGACCTCAAGCTGATCAATGACCCCGCACTTACTCGTAACTTGGATGGTCTCGAACATCGCAGATCTGTGGGCGATTTATCTCTCTTCTACAGGTACTATCACGGAAAATGCTCTGAAGAGTTGGCACGTATGATTCCACCGAGAGTAGCACCTACCAGGCGAACCCGTCAAACAGACGGTAACCATGAATTTACTGTCAAACTAGAGGCACCAAGAACCTCATTATATCAGAATTCATATCTCTGGAGAACAGCATCGCTGTGGAATAAACTCCCTGCGACGGTTTTCCCTGCAGGTTACAACCTGAACCGTTTCAAGACCAACATACACCGACATTTCCGCGCACTTGCCGCTTCTCGAGCGTGATAGGACATTTCCTTGCGAGTGCGCATATCCGTAAAAAAAAAACAGTTTTTGCATGTGAAAATTTGCTGTGAAAATTAATATGGTTGAGACTTGATAATTGTGAATCGATGGAACATTACGTGAACCAAGTGATAGACACCTCTCAGAAGCTTGAACGGTGTGGTTTCAAATCAGGGCCGTAGCCAGAGTCAAATTTAACATAGGGCATGACAAATTCGACATAGGGCATACATTACTTGCCCCCCCCCTTCCCTCCTAAATTTTTTATAGGTAAACAATTTTTTTTTTTTTTTATCAAGGTTCAGGTTGTATGGTAATGGTAACTTGATGACGCATCAAGGTTTGTATAATGTATGGTAAAGTATGGTAATGGGTAACTTGATGACGCATCTGATCTGGGATACCTTATAGAGATTTGCATTATGTTAAGGCACCCCAGATGACGTCATAAAGTTACCAGGCATCCTACCTCTCTCGCCTCTATCAAACATCCTTGCAATAAATAACATCTCTGGCAAGTAAACAAAATGGCGCGGATTTTCGCGCCAGCCGCCTGGGCCATTCGCACTCTTTCAAAACAAAACAAACTTCCTCTGTGCAAACATCAACCATTGTTCAATAGATATAGGCATTTTCGAAACATTCATCCTCGCTTACTCGATTTCAGGCCTACCTACTTCAGGCATCATCTACTCTTAAATTTTCTAAAGAAACCTTAATGTATGTTGATTTTTAAAGGTAGGGCATTATCATTTAAAAGATAGGGCATTGCCCCCCAATGCCCCCCCTGGCTACGGCCCTGTTTCAAATTAGGGAATCCAAACCACGTGACTTTTGCCAACCAGCCGGCATTTTGAAATTTTTGTGAGGTTAGAATACGGGTTGTTACATGTCAACGATGTCAGAAAAGTGGCAGATTTGATAAAGCCTAGTACTCATAACAGCGAAATACGCTGTTTCTTGACATTGCTTCGACAAGTTGACGTTTTATGCGTGAATCAAACGTCAAATTGTCGAAGCAATGTCAAAAAAGAGCGAATTTCGCGGTTATGAGTACTAGGCTTAATCCAGTCAAAAAAAAAAACATAGGTATGTTTTTTGTTTATTGTTGCCAACCAGACGCCATTTGGACAGGTCGTTGGATTGCCTAATTGAGTCAGGAGTTAATTGGAACCTTTGATGCTTGCAGGATTGACAGACAAATTTGAGACTATGTTTATCGCTATTGAACACGCTGGAATTGACATAACAGCTGATTTCATTAAATCTAGGTTAATGGATATGCACCTAGGTTGCGTTGAAGATAGCTCCATTCGCTCCTCAGAGGTGGTGCGTTCGCCGGTAAAGTGTTCAATAGAGGAAATAAAGGTGGCAGCACAAGGAATGTAAATAAAAATAAAAGATAGTTAACTTTTCTCAAATGTAAGAAAAAAGGAAATGTTATAAACAAGGGTCCAGAAAATAAAAGAAACCAAGATAATTCATCAAACGCATTTAATGCTGTGTTTTTTACTGGTCGTTTTGACAAGTCAGATTGGTGTACGTTCACTCAGGATGCAGTTTTCATTTAACATCACAGAAAAATTGGCGGAAAAATGTGAATCCAGAAGTCCAAGTGGAGGAAATTACACTGGCTAATGACAACAAGCTGGCTATAGCATGTTCAGATGATATACAATTCCCGACAATAGCTAATGATCAGTAACATTCAGTCACAGTTTGTAGGTAATGCCCTTTATGTACCAAAGTTGAAGACAAACTTATTATCGGTAAATCAACTGATTAAAAACAACAACAAAGTTATTTTTCATGCTAATGGTTGTGACATATACAATCACAAATAGCAGGTGATTGCTACAGCAAGCTTAGTGGACAATGTTCACAAATTAAATTTAATAAAGCCCCAGTTAAACTTGGTAGCAGGCTTCTTTTTCTGGAGAAGTCTGGCATAGACGTTTTGGTCACATAAATTACAACGACCTAAATTTAATGAAAAATGGACTAGTTGATGAACTCGAATGCAAAGGTACTTTAGTCAAAAGTGACTTTGACTTGTGTGTCCTTTCAGTCACAAAGGAAATAGAGCCAGCGTCAGTATTGGAAATTTTTCATGGAGACTTATGTGGACCTATGGAGGTAACGGCTCTCGGAGGATCAAAAAAATTTTTTGTATTAGTTGACGATTATACGAAAATGACTTTTGCATATTTTCAGAAAAGTAAGGATGAAGCTTTTGAAAAATTCAAAGAGTTTAAGAACTATGTAGAAAATCAGAGAGGTACAAAAATTAAAATATTTCGCAGTGATCGAGAAATTTTATAAGTAATATTTTTAGATTTTTTTTTATAAACAGCATGGTATTCTGCATCAGCAAACAAACGCTTATACTCCTCAACAGAATGGATTCAGTGAACGAATGAATCGTACCATTGTTGAAAAAGCACGTTGTCTATTGTATAATGCAAAAATAGAAAAGCTTTTTTGGGCAGAAGCTGTAGCAACTGCAGTCTACCTTAGAAATCAGTCTACAGTTTCAGGAGTTGAAACAACGGCTTATGAAATGTAGCATGGTAAGAAACCTGATGTTAGTCAAATAAGAATATTTGGTAGCAAGGCAATGACCTTAATTCCCAAAGAAAAAAGGCAAAAATGGGATAAAAAATCAAAGATGATGATTCTGATTGGTTTTAGTGTTAACATCAAGGTGTCAGTCAGTCATCAAGTATTGACACAGTATTCCAGAATTGTCAACAACTGTTCCATGTAAGTGGGTTTTTAAGCGAAAAACCACCGATAGTGGTGAAGTGAAGTATCGTGCACGTCTACTGGCAAAAGGCTGTGTGCAAGAACCCGGTTTGGATTAT